CCCCCCCCCCCCCCCGGGGCCCTGGCAATGGAGGCTGAACGACTCCCTACTCCAGGAGCCCGGTTTTGCCGATACCCTGGAGAGGGAACTTGCTACGTTCTTCAGGGAAAACGCCACGCCTGATATGTCCCCATATACGGTATGGGAAGCACACAAGGCCACTATCAGGGGCCTACTCATTGCCCAAGGTTCCAGGATTAAGAAACAGAGGCTGAGAGACATGACCGCCCTCTTGACACAGATACACACCCTCGAAACCCGACACAAGCGCCACTCTGAGCCAGCAATCGGAGACCAATTGCACCAAGCCAGAGAGCAACTCCGCACCCTATGCAATCACAAAGTTAAATCCGCTTTGCTCAAATGCCGTCAGACTTTCTACGAATACGGCAATCAATGTGGCAAGTACCTGGCAAGAGCCATGGGTAAACAACAGGCCCGAACGTTTGTCCCCTCGATCACCTCACCCTCAGGCGCCAAATCCGCACTTCCGTCGGAGATTGCGAATGCTTTCTCCGACTACTACGAAGATCTCTACAATCTGTCAGGCACCCCATCACCCCATGACACACCTAACCACTACCCGCGCATTGTACGCTACATTCAGAATTCTGGTATTCCCTCCCTCTCACCGGAGACCAGCTCCCTAATAGAACCCCCCATCTTAGCAGAAGAATTGGAACGGGCACTCAAAAAGCCCCCGGCCCAGACGGCTTCACCTTGACTTACTGCAAGCGATATTTCCCCAGTCTCACCTCTCCTTTCCTGAACGTGCTTAATTCCCTTAGGAGGTACCCACACACCTCCACCTGATTACGGTACTATGTCTCCCACCTGCCCTATCTCTAATGGCACACGTCAGGGATGCCCTCTCTCGACCCTCTTATTTGTTTTATCTCTAGAACCCCTTCTGCGTACGATCCGTGCCAAACCCGACGTCAAGGGGATAACAGTAGGCCATACGGATCATAAGTTTGCCGCCTTCGCGGACGACCTTCTCTTCTTCATCTCCTCCCTGGACACCTCTATCCCTATCCTCCTTGAGGAATTGAAAACGTATGGTACCCTCACAAACTTCAAAATCAACACCCACAAATCGGAAGCACTCCATGTCCTCCTCGCCGGACCTCACCTACACAGAGTCCTACACAATTTCCCCTTTAAATTGGCTCCCAACGCCATCACATATCTCGGCATACTGCTACCCAAAGACCCATCTCACACATTCACTCTGAATTTCCCCACACTGCTAACACGTATAAAATCTGACTTGGAGACATGGACCAAGAACACCTTTTCATGGATGGGGCGTTGCAATATATTGAAGCAATCCATCCTCCCCCGACTACTGTACCCCCTTCAAGCCCTACCGATTCACATCCCTTCATCCTTCTTCCGCAGGATCCGATCAGTATTCTCGGAATTCGTCTGGCAGGGGAAACCACCCAGGCTGAGTTACGACATTTTGATAGTGGCGGGGGGTATAGAAAACCCATGTCTTTATATACTCTGTGCACTTTATATACTCAAAAATAGACCTAATAATTTTGTGAAATTATGTTAATTAAATGTATTATCTTTTGTTAGGGTAGGTCACAATCCCCTAAAGAAGCTAAGTTGTGAAACGCGTAGTTATTGGACATACATAATATATTGATCTATAATGGTTATGTCTGAATATGTCTAATGGGTCTATGCCTCTGGTCTAATTTTGTTTTTAATGGTCGCAACTGTTGTTGCCCCTTTTTTATTTAATTTTGTATGTACATTTGCAATATATGTTATTTAAAATAAAACTTTTCCACTAAACTTCAAGCCATGGTGTCATATCTCTCATAAACCCCGGTATTTCCTTCTGTTGTTGTGTAATTGACAATTTTGTAGGGGGGAGATCACACCTGGGGGGCCATATGAATTTCTGCATATTCAGACACTCGGATGCATCCAAACGTATACAAATTTTTAATAATGAAAATTTCAGATGCATCAGAATTTTTTTCCGAATGTCATTCTGAATGAATTTATGTTGTTAAACGTTAAAATAAAATAAAACAAAAACCAGCGTGGAACCCCCTCCCCAATTTATACCAGACCCTTTAGGGACTCCCACGCCCCCAAAAAAAGAGGGGCATCCCCTGGCAAAGCACCTTCTCCCCATATCGATGAGGACAAGGGCCTCTTCCGCACAACCCTGGCCCGGTGGTTGTGGGGGTCTGTGGGCAGGGGGGCTTATCTAAATTTTAATGTCCCCCCCCCTTGTGAATGAGTAAGGGGTAGTTGTTAAAATAAAATAGTGTCACGCTACTTCAAATACCAGAGTGATGATCACAACACTACATACCACTATAGTACACCCAAAAATAATGTGAAAACCAAAATATCTATATATAATAATTGATGTGCAATTTGTTAGAAAACTCTTCGATTTGTGTCTCTTATATCACCATATCTATATGTTTTTGTGTATAAATCAGTCCAAAATGTGATCCAACATAAATCACAAACATTAATAGTGTCCTCTCATAATCCACTGTGGCTATATGTGTACAATGGGGTCTATTCACGAAGCTGCCGAAGGATCTGGCCGTAGCTTCGGCCGATCCTTCGGCTAGCTTCGGCCCCAGGACCCCTTCGGTTCAGTAGAACCGAGGGGGTGCTGTACGGGCTATTCACAATAGCCCGTACATCTCCCGATCATGGCCGAGCGGCTTGGTCGAGCCGATCGCGTATGCATTTTTTTTGACAGCAGCAGAGCCGCCGGACAATAGGAAACTATTGGGCGGAGCTAGATGTCACTGCCAGCTCCGCACAATCGTTTTCTATTTACTTTTTTCACTCTTTTTCTGTTCTGCTCGGTCCCATCCAAGATAGACTGCACCACTGTGTAAAAAACGACAATCCATGCTCAATCAGTGTCACTTT